TCAGCTCTTTTGCTTTAAAAGTGTCGAAATCAATATGAATATTTTTCAAGATTACTAAAAATCTGTGATTCTCGGTAGGAAAAGTGAAAAATCGGTAGTTTTTAACCTTTTGTCTGTGAATCGGTAGTCATATCGAAAATCGATAAGACTAACGATAAATCGGTAGGTCCGGCCACCCGGCTCGGAAGTTATAGAGCTTTTTGACGTTTAATCGGCGCACACTACTACACCATTTAAATCGAACGAGTACGAGCAAGAGGGAAACAGATTAGTGGTAAAACAAACCGTTCATTCAACCATGTATGCTAGATAGAGAAAGACTTTTGAACGTCAAAAAGGTTTATACGACCAGTTGCTGTGCGGAAAATCGGTGTTCGAGATTATGAACGTTGAATCATACGTTAAATTTGATTACAAAACTCTTCCTAGTGATCAGTACTACGCCGTTCGTGATGGCCGTAGTGTTGACGACGCGGATAAGTCGTTTTTTTCCGAAAAAAAAAACGGAACAAATGCTATGGGCAAGCCATTTGTAAGTGTGGTATGCTTTCCAAACCGTTTGTGACAACGGAGACAATGACAACCGATGTTTAAGTGCGTGAGTGTTCAAACAAGCGTGTGTTACCCATGATCCGCAAACATGACGCCTCAGTACTGTTTTGGCAGGATTTGGCGTCGGTGCATTACTCCAAGGACACGATAGCCTGGTATAAAGCCAAAAAAGTCCAATTCGTACCCAAGGAGATGAATCCACCAAACTTTCCCCAGGTCAGGCCAATCAAAACTTTTTGGGTCCTGACCAAAACATATTTGCGGACACATGTTAAGGCAGCGGATTCCGTTACAAAGTTTGTGAAAACTGGGAAAAAGTATCCAAAATTGTTGGACTGAAGCTTGAGCTTGATTGACCGCCCACGGTTGCTACTCTGTTATTGCCAGATCAGCTGTAATTACACAGAGAACCAATAGACGATGCTTGGGACTTATCCAAAACCGTTGGACTGAAGCTACGTTTAACTGTAAGAGAATACTATAAAAAACATGAAAACGAAATAAAAATCGTTTTTGCTGTAAACAAAGTTAAGTTATCGTTTTTTTTTCAAATTGTGCTTAGACATTCTGCAAAACCCTAGATTACTAACAACACGTTGATATTTGAGCTTTTTTTTTTAATCTCTTACAAGTCCAAGCTGTGCTTCAAATACATAAACCAAAAGTTGTATGACTACAATGCGTGAACATTCAAATATGTATCAGAGTAGTACAAGCATATCAGTTATCGCTATTAACATATTAAAAACGTGTAATGCTCAATAAATGAAAGAATTCCTAGGGCCCATTAAAATGTCACGTAATGAAACCGATTGCTTTTAAATACTATCCACCCCTCATAACGTACTTTTCTTATACTTAATAGAAGGGTTGTAACACTTTGCAATACGACTTCACCAACCAGCACTTGACATACTTTCCTAAACAAATTCCGCATGTACGGCCAATGATAACGACTCAAAATTGAGTAAGAGTTACTCATATTTAAGTTCAGTTATTTATTTATTTTTTTGTTGGGGAGTGAAGTAAAAACCACTCCGTGCATTATTTGAACTTTTGTGGTACCCGTATTTGCTGTTTGTATCATGCAAATCGACCACTATTTAACGAGTAGACAGCTAATTGCCTGGACACATCTTTTCTCAGTCCGGTATAATATGGTTTATAAAACCAACTACATTTCCATGATTTGCAGACTAAATATCGCTAGGTTTGTAAGCCAATACATCCAAGAAATTTGGATTTACGCTTGTGTAATGCACCACAACTGCAGAACAGATGTTCCGAGGTTTCATGATCCAAATTACAGAAACGACAGATATTACTCTGAACCCGACCAATGTTCTTAATGCCACAGACAAACAGACGTAACTCTTAATTGTGTATCTTCGTTCATGCACTTAACGGTTGATTTGAATATTATCAGTTCCGCGAACTACTCGCCGCAGCGCTGGCATCGGATCACTTTGACGTTTCTATATATTCTATAGAACTTTTATGCAATATTGTTTACGAGTTAGCGAGCAAGCTTGTTTTCCGCGAGAAGCCAGATAGATGTCGCTACTGAGGTTATATGTTTTGAGATACTATGTTTTCATGAACAAGTTTTTCAAAGAGTTACGTCTGTTTGTCTGTGTTAATGCTATATCTATTAGGACAGTGCCCAGTTACTAAGCTAGTGTATATACTAAGAGCTCTTTTATTGAGCTCTAAAAGCTTTTTGGTGTATGTTATATTAGGAGTTATAAATCTTTTCGACTGGTTGCAGTTTGTGCATGTGCAATTGGCCATCACCCTTTGCTCTCCCCAGCATTTGAGTTCCATTTTTACCGTACAGTATGATATTCCACAGTATGGTTCGCTTGAAACACCTTTGGAAAATGTCCCATCGCAACTGAAATATTTGTCCCGGGGTCAAAGATTCCTGCATCTGTTCGTATTCCATCTGTGAAAAATATGATCGAGTCTTGACGAACGTTAGGACCACCAGTTTCCCAATCTGAACGTGTCGTTTCACATACGTTGAAGGGAATTTCATAGTTGTCCTCTGGTTTCATCCAGTCTCTATTCATACTCATCACTGGTCCTCTTTGGAAGTATTGTAAGATGCTTAGATGACCAACAAGATCGACTGGCATTACCTTTTTAGATCTTTCGAGCCTTAGAGCCCTTCTTTCCACTTCTAGTTGCACATGTTCATGCAAGGGCAGCAGATTGAGGATTTCTTCTAATGCTTTTGATGGGGTGCTACGCACCGCACCCGTTATTGCAATGCATGCTAGACGTTGAAGTTTTGCTAGTTTCCTCTGAGCAATAGCCTCTTTTGATTTTGGCCACCACACTAACGAAGCATGAGAGTTCAGGTTACTCAAATTCGCGAAATCGTAGGACACTCATAGATTGAGTAAATTTTCTGACGCTTTTCCGTGGAAAACTTCATATGAAACTACATATGAGGAAAACTGATTGTGGTTTTAATCGGTCTTCTAGTACAGTTCTAACCTGTGTACAATTTTCTTAATTTTTCCCATATCCGAGAAGTTTTCCCCAGGAAAGTGTCGGAAAATTTACTCAAACTATGAGTGACCTACGTTTTAGTGATTTTCAGTAATCTGAAATCAAATATGGGTAGCATTTTTATTCCATGTGCGATTGTTTTGGAAAGCAATTTTTTTTTTCTAAATCAGTTGGAATAAACTCACGCTGACCCACGCCGCCACGCCGCCGCCGCCGAAAGCAAACGGCGTGACGCCGCCACGCTGCCGCCGCCGGCAGAAAATAACATATCACGCCGCCGCCGAAAATAATTTGATCGGCGCACAGGTCTACTGCAAATATATTTGCTCTGAGAACAGCTGTCTTGCTCCTTGGTTCAGACAATGAACTGGCAATGTTACTTAAAAGATCGTCGAAAAAGAGATAAAAAAGATATTTTAAACGCCAACAAGTTGTTTTGCCCCAGGGGTGCTTCTTACCCCATTTTACACTATACTATTCTTATCAGATGGGTAAACAGTCTAAGGGGCTGTTCACATTCCACTGTAGTGGCCCAGTTCTTCAACATACAACGGACCCAAACTCTCTTAAACTCACTATATGCTTTGGTGCATTTACATTTGACATTGATATTTTCTAGACCTTGAATTCTAATTTCTGATTATAACTTCCGCTGCTCCAAGAAAGGAATAGCCTACTGCCTATGCATTGAAACTATGTAAATAATGTAACGCAAACATAAAGTAATCACACCAAACAAACGATTGTTCCACAAACTTCACCGACCCTTGGCCAGATTAACATAATAAATTCTCCCAAGCTTCCTATCGCACTTCTGCCACTTACTGAAACAAAGGTCGCCGTAACATTGAACAGCCAGTAGGCAGCCTAAACATAAATATGCGAACGCCAGAACTTTGTGTTTACAACAATAGCAGTCTTTTTCCCAATGCATGTACATTTTTAAACTTAACCGAAAATGAACTACCTAACTACACAAGCAGGCTGTGTCTTATCAGTAGTGACACGCAAAAAAATTGAAAATCCACGCATGAATGAGCCATTGAACATGAATTACCACCTCGCTAACAATGCTAATTGCAGCAACCGGTGCAGCATTGTTTCCTGCGCAAAAAATTTGGAACAGAGGACGAAGAAAAAATGCCGAATTGTATCGATTTGATTGAAATTCATAATGGAAAAAATACATGGAAGCAAAGCAAATATGAGTCAGAGATAATTCAAACCCCGAGCATTGCGTTGCAAAATTTTACTCCGAAGTTTCAACAGGAGAAGCGAAAACAAGATGCGCCAAGTTCAGGACAAAAACAACCAGAATTCGAAACCAGTGCAGAAAACGGAAAACTTCCAAGACCAAGGCCAACAGCATAGCACCACCACGTATGTAAAAGTAAACCGCCGCGCCGCCGTTTTCAGCATCCGATCCCAAATCCCATTAGGTATACTGTCTGACGTGGATCGTAGCACTGTGTAATCACCGCATCCAACATCCAAGCAGCCCGTGCTAGCTCAACTCATCGCCTGCTGCTGCGACGGCTACCACGACGATCGACGGACCAACGACCAAAAAGAAAGAACGAGGAAACAAAAATTAGCACACCTAATCTATAAAGCAACCGGGTGCGATCGCAACGAGCTTTATTCCACCATCGACCGTTCATCCAATCGTACGCACGACGGATCACTGTTCTTAGTGTAATGTAAAAAAAGCCCTCGAGCATAGTCGGAAGATAACAACTTACATATAAACAACAAACGAAAGGTTGCATCCATCGTAAAAGTGCATCGGCAGCAGTTTCGCCAACAGGAATTTCAAGTTCAAGGCGTGAAGTTGCGCCCTCGGGAAGGAGAAGGGCGTTCGATTGTTTTTTAAATAAAAAGAATCTCAGTGTCACTCGGAGAGTTGAAATAGTGTAGGAGTTGATTTAACCAAGTGTGTTTTGTCGGAAAAAAGAAAACAGTGATCCGTTGAAATGTCGATTAAGCGTAACGAAAAGGATTATCCGTACATAGATTTGGGACAGGGATACACAATCCACGTCCAAGCGGACGAGTTCACCGATCCCGAACTGAAGGCCAAGGCAGAAAAGGAGCTGAACGAGACGCCGGAAAATGTGGAAAAAGCTCTCACCGAATTGCGCAATCTACTGAAGGCAGAAAAAGATCTTTTCGTCCCGGTGGAAAATGACTCATTCCTGGTGACGTTTCTTCGACCGTGTCTGTACGATTCAGCAAAGGCGTTCCAAATGATTCAGTATGTGTACCGGTTGAAGGCCAAAAGCTCGGAATATTATGAGAATACACCGAATCCCAGCTCGGTGCGGCACGTGTTTGACGAGGAAATGATTTGGTTCATGCCGGAACGGGACGCCGATGGAGCAGCTTTGTGCGTTGTAGAAGTTGGAAGTGAGTAGGATTGTCGACTTTTCCAGATAAGGGACCGGAGTATTTTTTGACAGCATTTTGTGGAATTACCTTTGAATTGAGTGAAACAGGTTTGGATGGGAGAATTTCTGAAAACAAGTTTCTGGGATAATGTGCCGATCGGTTTGGGTGAAGATTTGACGTCAATTGAGAGCGTATTTAACACATGCCGGTTAGAAAAGAAAGCTCTACTGAAGGTGTTCAGTGGACTTTAGATGTGAATTGAATTTATGTGGATTTTAAACTGCTGGTTATTTCAACGCTGTTTCAGTAGTGTTTTACTTAGTCTAAATTTGCTAACACAAGTCTGTTACCGTACTTGCTTTTCTGTAAGATTCTGTGACTTATCAGTAGTGACAGCAAAAAGCAAATGTTCCCGTACTGTCTTCACCACATTCTTTACTTACAGAAAATTACAGAAAGCAGCAGCAACTTACAGCAAAAGTAAAAAGCAAGTACGGGAACAAACCTAATGATGACAAATTTAAAATCAAAATCCGTCAGCAGCGCAAATCAGCAGCAAAGACCTACTCATTTCTCATTGATTCATGGATTGGCATGATAATGGATTGCTCTTATGAGACTTTTTCTTTACTTTTTAATATTAAATAAAAATTGAATTTTCGGTTAACCCATCTTAAAAAAAAAGTTGTTTAGTTTAGTAGTTTAGTGCTATTAATCTCCCATCAAAATTCAACATTTTCGCACCGCAGACCCACAGTCTGTGTTTACACTGCAGGTTCACAGGCATAGGTTGTAAAGTCAGTTCATCAAACGGTTACACATACCTCCTAAAAAAAATGTTTTTAACTCTATTTGTTCCAAATTGCAAATTAATTACATTTAATTTTAACCTAGGTACTCCAGCTACTCCTCCAGCAGTAACTCAGCATCCTTATTAGGTATTAATTATTAACTATTTTGTTGGGCATTTGTTCTACAGTCTTAACATTCGAAATCCTATGTATCTCGGTAGTACTGTGCTTTAAACTTCAAAATCTTTTAAAGTACTTTTTCCTGGAAGTGCAACAACTAGACCATATTGGCACAGCATAATACCGGTTTAAAAACTTGTTTAAATATAAGAAGTTTATTCGTCAGGCAAAGTTTGGATTTCTTGTTTATAAGAGGATACAAACATTTGATATATTTATTACATTTGGCTTGAATGCCCTCAATGTGATCTTTCAAAGAAAATTTTTGGTCAAGTACTAATCCAAGGTATTTCACTTGGATTGACCAGGAAATTGGAACTCCGTTCATAGTGACTATGTTACTAGGTTTCAAAAAGGAAGCTCTAGGCTTATGTGGAAATAATATAAGATGAGTTTTGAAATCGTTGGGAGAAATCTTCCATTTCTGTAAATAAGAAGAAGTCTGCTGCAAATAACACGAAAACTTTTTCCTTTAGCGAAAATGTCGGAATCAGTGAAGTGAAAATGCTGTACAATAAAGGAAGTCCTGCTCTAACAGGTAGGGGAAATGTCCGCTTCGGCAATACCTTAACCTATTATCGTCAGGGGTTAGTCCTAAACCACTCAAATTTGGCCAATAGATGCTCTGAAACACCATGTATCCACTTGCGAAAATTGAGCTCTCAAGGACGTTGATCCCCTGACGATAATAAGTAAAGGTATTGCCGAAGCAAACATTTCCCCTAGTTGATCAGATTTTGAATTTTGATAATTTACCTGCATAGTTCTGTCAGTTAAATAAATTGGAACTAATTTCATAATATCAAATCTTAATCTTCATGCCAAACACTGTCGAATGCTTTTTCTGTGTCTAGAAGAGCAACTCTAGTTTAGCAGCCTTCAGATTTGTTTAAACGAATTAAATTGGTAACTCTTAAGAGTTGATGAGTAGTTGAATAATAATGGCGAAATCCAAACTGCATCACAGCATCTTTACCAGCAGGCTAAATAAGTTCTGTGTAATCCACGAATGTGCAACAGGGCGACATCACCGGTAGGGTAACGTATCGGCAAGACCCCATCTTAACATTAATGTACTAGCTGCCATAAGGGAAGAGACAAGGGAGGGTTTGTGTCGATTCATATATAGCTGTTACTTAAGGTGGTTAATTCGAGTAAAGGGTGTCCACGATGAAATTGCCACACACAAAATTGATTCGCAAAATTCGAGTTTTCATCCGATTGCCATCAAATTTTCAGGGATTGAGAAATAACTATTAAACTTCATTTTACCATTTTACTCGTATTTTATTTACAGTCCATACGCAAATGCCCGCACCTTGGCCTTAACCACGGCCATAAGATTCTGCACAACCTGTGAATCAACCGTTTTTTGCATGTAACCCATACTTTCTTCAGTTCCTCGACTGTCTTCACTACCTTAGGTCGTTTAAGAAGGTGCTGCTTCATAATCGCCCAGTACTTCTCGATGGGGCGGAGCTCCGGAGTGTTGGGAGGGTTGAACATTTTCGGCACGAAATTGACCTTATTGTCCGCATACCACTTCAGCACGTCCTTGGAGTAGTGGCATGAGGACAAATCCGGCCAGAAGATTGTTGGGACGTTGTGGGCCTTCAGGAGAGGAAGCAGCCGCTTCTGGAGGCACTCTTTTATGTACACCTGTCCGTTCATCGTGTCCTGGGTCACGAAAGATGCACTCCGCTTCCCGCACGTGCAGATGGCTTGCCAAACCAGGAATTTCTTTGCAAATTTGGACATCTTCTGAGTGCGGACATGCTCCGGAACGCTGAACTTATCCTTGGCCGTGAAAAACAGGTTGCCGGGGATCTGTTTGAAGTCGGCCTTCACATATGTTTCGTCGTCCATGATGCAGCATTCAACTTTCGTCAGCATGTTGAGGTACAACTTCCTGGCACGGGTTTTGGCGGACTTGTTCTGCTTCTCGTCGCGATTAGGGGCCTTTTGTACCTTGAACGTTCGAAGCCCAGCCTTAGTTTTGGCCTTCTGGACAAACTTCGGCTTAGGTGCAGCTTCTTAGCCACATCCCTAACGGAGGCGTTCGGATTTCGGTTGAAGGCCCCAACTACGCGGTTGTGATTTTTGGTGTTGTACGGAATACTTTTTCCTTCACTTCTGGGCTTCCGATCGGTGGTCAACCGTTCCTCGAACCGCTTAATCACTCGCGACATCGTGGAATTCGCGATTCCCAACGTTTTAGCGATGGAACGATGCGAGAGATCCTTGTTCTCGTGATGAATGCGCAAGATTTTATCACGCACGAGCTGTTCTTTCGTCTCCATTTCCGCGAGTTTTGATCACAGGACTTTAAAACTTGCAGGATGTAAATAATGCACTATGAACTAAATCCACCCAAATTTTCATTAAATTCTACCCAACGGTTAAAAAGTTAGAGCAATTTCATAGTGTGGCAATTTCATCGTGGACACCCTTTAGGTATAAGTAAAATATAGGTTAAATTAGTTAGAAATTACCTGATTGTTTATGATGCTTGACTTTACCGTGATTTTGTTGTTGGCGCTCTTGATGACGCCGCCTTCTATAGGCAGGCTTGCAATTGCTCATTACAGCTAAAATGCTAGTTTTAGTAATTATGAAACTAAGGGATACTATAATGATATTTTTTATTTGAAAGAAGCGAGAAGAGGTGGTAAAGTTTGTGTATGACATATAAAATTTGTCAATTTTGCTTTCAGAATGTCACAACTAACGGTTTTATGATCGCTGATTGCTCGCTCATCGCGTTGCGCATCGTTACAGCTAATCGCTATTGTGACCCTCTGAAAGCTAAATTGACAGGTTTTATGTGTCATACCATATGCGTGATAATGTTTACACCATTGAGCAATGTCAAAATTAAAAAAAAATCTCAAAAATTTCGTTTTCGAGTTTTTTTTTTTATTTATTCAAATGAGGGATGTTTCTCAGAGTCTTATACTATGTTAATCATCGATCGAGTTTCCACTTGCTGCTATTACGTCCTCCACACGGTTCTGAAATGCACGGCAGGTTCTAATAATGTAGTATGGATCCATTTCTCTCCAGGTACGGGTCAATGTTTGTCTGAGGCTTGCTGTACTCGGGTGGCGTTCAGAACAGGCCTTGGCCTTCATGACGCGCCATATTGGGTAATTCAGCGGATTAAGATCGGGGCTGGATAGCGGCCACATATCCTTCGCAGCGATAACCCTCGGAACCCGAGCAGACCTCGGACGACCTGTGGCCACCTTCGCGGATAGTTGTCCTTTCTTTTCTCGGTCTAAAACCCTTTTTACGGTCCACCGGGACACTCCCACGACGACTGAAATGTCTTTTTGCCACATTTGCGCGTAGGACAAATCACGAATACGCTGCCACTTCGTCATGGTGCAACTGTCAAACTAAGTAAATTATTTTCTTTTATACACAGCCTACTACTGTATGAGCTATAGGTTACGTGCATGCAAAGAAAACCAAGGTATTGTACGCACAGGTGAAACGGGAACCTTATTTGTACGATGGTGCAAACATTATTAAGTGTGTGTACCCTTCACCTCCTTTTCTTGCATCGTGTAAATAAGAATTGATCATTTTGTCAAGCTTCTGCATTCATGTTCCATCAGATGTCACAGCTGTTGTTTGCGGTGATATCTATCGGAAACTAGACACAATCTGTTTTCTTATAATTGTTCACAGAGGACACTGCAGTGCAAAACATGTCTGGACCTCTATACATGCATTTAGATTATTATTCGAAATCCCTCCTTTTTTACACATTCTGCACACAAAATAGCTCACCCCTCACAGAATTTCCCGCCGAATTTTATGTATGGGGCGGGGCATAAAGTATCTTTTGCGCAGAATATGTAAAAAAGGAGGGACTTCAAATGATAAAGCAAATGCATATATAGAGATACCAGACATTTTTTGTAGTGTCAGGTACTCTATTTTGTAATCTGTGAAAGGGAAATCACAAATCGAGTGTCAACAAAATACATGGCATGTTGAGAGATTGAGCTCGTGAGAGAGAATTTCTCTCTCAAATTTGAA